AAAAAAAAAAACAGGCGCCAAAAAAAAAACCAAAACAAAAACAAATACCAGACACAGAAAGACACATAAAGCATGATCTCAGTGGTGTGTGGAATCACCATATAGGAGTGATGCACTCACAGGAGCACAGTATAGAATGGTGGTCACCAGGGGCAGAGCTAGTAGCACTGGGGAGATATTGGCTAAAGGATACAAATTTTTAGGTAGTCAAGAAGAGTAAGTTCAAGAGATCCATTGTACAAGATGATGTTACTAATGATGTATTGTCTACTTAAATATATTAAAAGAATAGATTTGAAGTGTTCTTTTCACATAAAAATAAGTGAGATAATCCATATGTTAATTTAATATGTTAATTGCAATCCAAAATGTGTGTATATGTGTGTGTGTGTGTATATCTTAATATTTAAGTATACAGTTCAGTAGCACAGCTGTAATCCTAGTATACTGCTGAATAATCTTCAGGGCTGGGAATTTAGCTCAGTGGTTCCACTGACAGCCTCAAAAGCACAAGGACCCAAGTTCAAACCCTGGTACCAAAAAAATAAAAATAAAAAATAAAAAAGTACCAATCTCCAGAACATTTATTTCATCCTCCAAAATGCAAACTCTGTGCTCAATAAGTAATAATGTCCCATTTTCCCCTCACCTATAGCCCTTGGCAACCACTGGTTTGCTTTCTGTTTATATAAAGTTGACCATTCTAGGTATTTCTTATCAGTGGAATCACGTAGTATTTCTTTGTCACTGTGTTACTTCACTTATCATAATGGCAAGGTTAGTCCACAATGTAGCCTATATCAGAATTTACTTTTTAAGGTGGAATAATATTTTCACATTTTCTTTGTCCATTCATCTGTCAGTGAACAACTGAGTAACTTCCTCCTTTCAGCTGTTATTGAGTAATGCTGCTATGAACATGTCGGATATATACCCAGAGGGAAGGCTAGATCATATGGTAATTCTCTTTTTAATTTTTCACCTTTTTTTTTTCTTTGGTACCAGCGATTGAACTCAGGACCTTGCACTTGTGAGGCAGGCAGTGGCACCACTGAGCTAAATCCCCGGCTCTTTTTAATTTTTTGAATAACCACTTTTCTGTTTTCTATTGTGTATGCACCATTTTACATTTCCACCAGTAGTAGGCAAGTTTTTCAATTTCTGTAAACGCTGAAACTTGTGTACTCCATCTCTTTCCCGTATACATGACTATATGATTTTCCTGCTATATTTAAATATGCTAGCTATCCCGGTGGTTACATCATGGTTTTGATTTGCATTCCTTAATGGTCAGCGGTGATGTGCATCTTTTCTTCTTTTTCAAATTTTACTGTCATCCTCTGCCCAATGTCTTCCCACAATGTTTGTGCCTGTTCGCATGGCTGCCTGTTGAAAACGATACATGAATATTCTTTACTCTGCAGACTGTAAATGTCTGGAGGAGGAAAACTACTCTTTTCTAATTCTACCGCTAATTTAGGAAAGCCTGAAGGTTGAGACCCGGGTTGTGATCATCTCCCGGGTAAAATACACGTGTGTGACTGTGGGGCCAAGGCTCTGTGCCTGACGGTACGGGTTGGAGAATGTTTCCTCCCCCCGGGAATCAGTCCCTTCCCGCATCTCCCCCAAGGCCTCATACTTCTGGTTCTCTGCTCCCCTTCTCCCTAGGTACAAGCCTCGGGAAAAGCTGAAGGTGAACTTCGGTACTCCTGAGTTCCTAGCCCCGGAAGTTGTCAACTATGAGTTTGTTTCCTTCCCCACGGACATGTGGAGTGTGGGAGTCATCACCTACATGCTGTGAGTGCTCCGGGGGCCTGGCTCCTAGGTGGGGCTGGGCCATCTGTCTCCCTCCAGGTGCCCTTACAAGCAGCAAAAATCTGAAATTTATTTGGGGAGTATTCCTAGGAAGCATTAGCACAAGTGTAGGGCAGTGAGATGGGGAAGGAGAAGCAGTCAGTTGAAGATAAGTCACAGAGCTAGTTCCTTCATTTAAATTCATCCTATTTGTAAGCTATCACTCACCACAGGCTAATGTTGAAAGAGAGAGAGAGAGAGAGCTACGCAGATGTCATCTCCCCGGAGTAGGCCCAGATGCCTGAAGCTTCAGTAGCTGCATCAAAATCATGGGCTGAGCTATTGAGGGTTTTTCTGATACACATAAAATAATAACTGAAAATAACTAAAGGCATTAATGTCCGGAAGTAAAGCCCTCCTGTGAACTCCTTGAGTTTATTTTCACAGGGAAACTCTGGACTCCGTTGCAGAACACCCTTTGAATTATTTTATCTGAGGGGTGAAAGATTTCGACAGTTTATATACAGACTTATTAGTTACTGTTCTTGGGCTCGTCTCCCAAGTCAGGGATTGAATTAACTTCCTGGTACTTCTGCACGGATAAAGCAAGCTTTAACTGGAGAGAAAGTCCTTCGGCAAAGAGAGGAAGGTGCTTGGTATGAGTGGGGCTGGACTGCGCCGAGGGGGTGAGGCAAAGGGACAGGAGGGCAGGACGACACTATTTCCAACCCTGTCACCAGGACTCCCCATTTTCTTCTCCATCTGTGGCCTCCCCATGGCTCTTTCCTCAGGGGCCAAAGTCATGTTTTGCCTTTTGTCCTCGGTTCCTGCACTTTGCATGTGTCTGTGGTACTAGCCTGGGGAAGTTTGGAGCCCCAAGGCCATTGAGCTAGGCTGTCCTGACTCAGCCTTCACTAGCAGGAGCCTAATAAAGGCAGATTCTCTTGGGCCTAAATGATACTAGGTAAGGAGTAGTATCTAAATGATCCAGATTGTCTGAGAAATACAGAAGGCTATTTTAAAATTAAATCAATATAAGCTGGGCTTGGTGGTGTACACCTGTAATCCCAACACTAGGGAGGCTGAGGCAGGAGGATCCCTGAGAGTTCAAGACCAGCCTGGGTACAGTGAGTTCCAGAGCAGTCTGAACTACATAGTGAGACCCTGTCTCAAAAAAAAAAAAAATTAAATCAATACATATATTGATCTGCATATTGTACTGATGTTCCTTTCTCCCCTCTGTAGACTCAGTGGTTTGTCCCCATTTCTAGGGGGAACAGATGCAGAGACCATGAATTTCATTGTGAACTGTAGCTGGGACTTTGACGCTGACACCTTTGAAGGACTCTCAGAAGAGGCCAAAGACTTCGTTTCCCGGCTGCTGGTCAAAGAGAAGAGGTACTCTTCACGGCTTGTCACTTGGGGACCACTGTGATTGTGAAGCCTGATCTGGGTGTTGGGCTGGACCACCAAAGCTAAAGGCCCATTTTTCTTTATGATTTATTGGTCTGCCACTTCTTTGGAATAATAATGGGAACAGAGAGAAGGAAAAAGGACATCGGTTAAAAACTACTAGATGTGTGAAATCTAGATAGGCTTTAGAAAGGAGCATAATTACATATGAGTCCTGTTTCTAAGTTATCCGTCATTATAGGCTAATGTAGAAAAAAGTTGAGATAGGCAGGTATCATTCCCCAGAATAAAGGTCTGAATACTTCAATTTCTTTTTTTTTTGAGACAGGGTCTCACTATGTAGTTGAGACTGACCTGGAACTCACTATGTTGTCCAGGCTGGTCTCGAACTCACAGTGATCCTCCTGCCTCAGCCTCCCGAGTGCTGGGATTACAGGCGTGCGCCACCACACCTGGCTTGAATACTTCAATTTCTTGGTGATGAAAGCCTACTTAGGCTTCAGCAGTTACATCAAAGTTATAGAGTAAATCATTGAGCTTTTTTTTTTTTGGTAGTCACATAAAATAATAACTGAAAATGACCAAAAGTATTAAAAAAGCCAGAAGTCAAGGCTACCTGTGGGCAACTGGAGTTTACGTCCGTTTGGAATTCTGGGATTAATTGTGGCACACTGCTTCTGAGTTACTTTTTCTCTTTTCTTTTTGGTGTTTTGAGATAGGGTCTCACTATGTAGTTCAGGCTGGCCTTGAACTCATTATGTAGCCCAGCCTGGCCTTGAACTTGCTGCAATCCTCATGCCTCATCTACCCAAGTGCTGGGATTACAGGCATATACTGTTGTACTCCTGAATAACTGAGGCCCAAGAATCTGGGCTCTAACACAGTTCATTGTTCTCAGATTTTTCACAGTTTTATTTCTGATTGTGAAAGGTTATGTGAGGGGAAAAAATTTCTAATTAAGGGCCAGAGATTTAGCTCAGTGGTTCCACTGCCTGCCTTGCAAGTGCAAGGTTCCAAGTTCGATCCCTGGTACCAACAACAACAAAAAAATTAAAATGAATATTCTCTGGAGGGAGAAATGAGCTTCTTTCAAGTGTTGTGCTCTTTTGTTCAAAATTTTAAATTTTTATTAGCACATGTTTGTAGCACATAATGACTACATTCATCATGAGAAGCTGGTGTACATACGTAACACATCTTACTTCTGTTTACTGCTTCTTCCCCTCTGCATCCTTCAATCTCTTGGTCCCTTTCCCATTTGTAAAAGATCTCTCTACTTCCTATTATGTTTTATATTTCTCTTTAAATTATTTATAGTTTGGGTTTCTCATATAAGAGAAACCATGCCATATTTAAGTTTTTTAACATTTCCTACAGTGCCACAAATCTATCCTTCTTAATGGCAGAGTAATACTCCAGTGTATATAAACAACACATTTCCTTTATCCATTCTTTTGCTTTTTGATAGCACACCCAGCCTTACTGCTCTGCCTCAGTTTCCCAGCCCTCTCTAGGAGGCGCCGATTGATCCCTCTAACACATTCCCAAGCAGAGGTCAGGGAACATTTTGCTGATGACTTACTACTTATTGACCTTTCTACATGGGTGGCTTTAGACAAGTTCCCTTTGGGGTACCATGACATGAATCTGCTTGAATGAGTGCCCAGTGCAACAGTTCTGAGTAGCCAGAAAAGGCAAACCCAACTAAAAGTCTCAACTGCTGTTTGATTTCACAGCTGCAGAATGAGTGCCACACAGTGCCTGAAACATGAGTGGTTGAATAATTTACCTGCCAAAGCCTCAAAATCCAAAGTTCATCTCAAATCCCAACAATTGCTGCAGAAATACATGGCCCAGAGAAAATGGAAGGTATTTTGTTTTTCTTTCAATAAAGGAAGCATTTGTCTTCTGACTTTTGAAAGAACTGCCACTAATTTTTTATTCTAAACAGATGATTTAGAGGAGAAAAATCTCATGTTAAAAGGTGTCAGCTTGATTTTTTAAAAGCCACAGATGAAAAGAATAATAACTGGCTCAAAAGTGTCATTTAGTCTGTGGTTATATGGACACAGATATAAATAGAATGAAGTCCAGCACGTGAGGTATGCTTTTTAAAAATTTTATTACAGTAAAAGATGCATAGCCATTAGTTCTCTGCAAAAGACTCCCTCTTGCTTCAAGTACAGTTATCCTATCATTTTTACCACTTTCTGAAGCAGTGCCGGAGGTCCTAAAGTGTAATAAGAAGTAAAGTGAGGGCCAGGGATTTAGCTCAATGGTTCTGCTGCCTGCCTCACAAACGCAAGGACCCGAGTTCAAGCCTGGTACCAAAAAAAAAAAAAAAAAAAAGAAGCCCCCCGGCAAGTGCTCCAATGGA